GGGGGGGTGGCAACCGCTGCTCAGGAACTGGCTGGGCATCGGTTGGCGGGTGGTGAGCGGTTACATCACTTGTTTTCCCTGGGTTTTGTTCCTCTCTCTCTTTTTTGTTGTTTTTCTTTTCATTACATTTTATTATATTATAATTATAATAATATTTTATTTCAATTATTAAACTGTTTTTATCTCAACCCACAAGTTTTCTTACTTTTTCCCTTCCGATTCTCTCCCCCATCCCACCGGGGGTGTGTGTGTGAGCAAGCGGCTGTGTGGTGCTTGGTTGCCGGCTGGGGTTAAACCACGACAAGTAGTCAGGAGTGGAAAGGAGAGGGGAAAAGCGGCTGAGTGGCCCCCAAAAGGCAGGCCGCTATTGCTGCCCTTGGCCTCCGGTTGTGAGTCCTCTCCTGGTGTTTAATGTTGCCACCTGCAAAAGAGAATGAGGGAGAGTAAAACTCTCCCACTCTACCCTGTAGCCGAGGAGACAGAGCAGACACTTGATGGAGCTCGAGTCGAATTCCTGTCAGATCTTTTGCTGACGCAGACCTCGGCTGCAGAGGCTGTGGCGAGGCTTTGCCTCGGTGTCTCCTCTTGGAACTGCTCTAGTTTGTGCAAATGCCGGGTTTCGGGGCTCGGACTGCTGACATGCTGCTGTACTGCTACGGGTACGCTGCTTTGAGCTAGCAACTTTGCAGAGAGCTGTACCTGGCTGTTGGGCAGGGGTTTCTGCGCCGTGCTCCGAAGCTGGTGTTGACCTCCCCGCTCCCTGCGGTGATCCACGGGCCGGGGAGACTGAGATGTGGCAGCCCTCTACAGAGGGCTAGTATATGGTATCTAGTATTTAATGGTTGCTGTTCACAACGTAACACTAAAAAAAGAACCAGAATTGTCTCTTTGTCATTTTTGTTTCTTCAGTGCTTGTTCTCTTCCATTTAGCTATTTATTTTTGGTCTGTCCATGATGGCTGCATCATTGTTACTACTTTATCTTTTGACAAAACCCCCCGAGTAACCAATTTTGCACCTCCCTAGTCTTCTGCTCCGATTCCGCCACCGAGTACCTTTTGTTTCTTCTTTCTATGCTTTCTATTTTGTTCTTTTTTCCCCCGTTTTGCAGTAGGAGAGGTACATAATTTTTAACTGTCCCAGATTACAGTTCAAATAAGGCATGAAGTTGAACGAAGGTTTCTCATCACTTATATTGAACATTACTGACACGTTATTTCTGTGGCGGACTTTGAGCCTTTGATTTTAACCAGCTGCTGTAAATGTACAGAAGTAAACAACAGAATCTATAAACAGTTCAATACAGAAGACTTGATTTAGTACCTTACAAGACAAAGCGATCAATAATCTATTACGCATCTGATCACGGACATGAATAGCCCAGCAGCCCTCTGAACAGCGTTCCACCAAATGAGAAGGGCAGTTGGAGACCACAGGAAGAGGGACACAAATCACCGAGATTGCAAATGCATCGCTTGGAGGAGATCTATAAATGCAAATGTTCAAATTCAACAATCACCTCTCGCTACTAGTGAATCACGCTATTGCTATCTGGAGACTAGTTGCTATGGCAGAAAGCTGTAGCGATGGCAGAAGGCCAAGAATCCCGCCTTTGAAATGTTAACTGAATTTAACTCTTGACTTTTCTCAGACAAGGTTCCTTACTTCATGTGACTGTGACATATTAAGTGAGTGCTTTGTCTGCCCTAGGTACCGGTTTGGAAGGGATATTATTAATCACCAGGATGGCGAAGCAGGTCAGTAACAACCATTTGTCAATAAGGATTTTTTTTATACCTTCAAGTCCAATATGAGATAGCTGCAGTCACGTTAGGGCCTTTTTGCTTTAATTTCTTTTTTTTTAAATTGTTTCTTTTTTTTTTTTGTTAACTCATCTCCTTGCTTTAGGCAAGTTATACCCAGTTCACAGCGCCTGGGCGGACTCAGAGCATACCTACAGCACAGGCGTGATGGTGCAGTGAGGAGATCCTCTACTTGGAACAGTTACAGCCTGGACGCAGACACGCTGCTGCTCCATTTAAGTGACAATGTAGGCTGCTGCCTGTAACATCCACCAGGACAATCAGGAGTTTAGAGACTTCAGCAAGGAACAGGTATAAACGTCGGCTGAGAAGTAATTTTGTGAATGGCAGAACTACCTACACACGGAGTTTAGGCACAAGCTCTTCTTTCAGCTGCCTGAAGTGTAGATCTGGCTCCCTGCTTAAAGGGCAGCTGCAGGTGTGTGTACTGCACTTTTGCTCGAAGACATCAATCCTTTTCAGCTGTGTAAATGAGATCTCTCACATTTAGTTATTGGGCCACATTTGGCAATTCAGGATTACTGAGATCCAAGGAAACACCTAGATTAAACACAACCAAGTATTCATGCAGAGGTGCTTCTGACATCTTTTCTTCTAACATTATGAGGAGCTATTAAGAAGGACGCACATGTTGAAAGTTAACTGAGAACAGCAGAATAAACCAGGTGGCCTTATAGTGAAGACAACTATCAAAGAGAATAGCATGTAGAGAGGAACTGCAGCCATAGTTATAAAGACGCAGGTTCACAAATTGTGACAATGATTTTTCTCCCACAAACACAACAAAGGCATTACTGTTGCAGTGGAAAAAGTCTTGAATATAGTAGGCCATATACAAAATTATAGCGGAGGCTGAGATGGTGACAGTAAAGTTGGAAGGCTTGCTGTAGGGTATTCCTACTCCAGTCTGTACCTCTGGAGTTTTGCCCGGTCCCAAGAGTAGGTTAAGAACCACATGCCTCTCTAAATTGTTCTGTAGGCTGTGGAACATTTCATGTTCCACCTTCAGAAATCTCGTTCTGACTTTCAACACTTGTTTTCCTCTATTATACGATTCCATCTTCCAGGAACGAGTTCACAAGGTGGAGTTCTGCACTCTCTCACGCTCCCCTTCTCAATAGGATTTTGACTATGTGCTCAGACCTGAAGGAGCTATTCTCGAGAAGGGAAACACAAAAGCCCTGCACAACATGCAGTACGCTGCTAGATAGCACTTAAAAATGACTTTGCAATATCACCCATGCTCTTTGTCATCTTTCATTAACCATGATTTTGACTGCTGCATCTCCTCTTCTCTTCTCAAGATACATTGATGGTAAAGTTTTTTTTTAAAAAAACAACCCTAAATCATATAAGCCAAAAGCTCCCAATTTATTTTTTTTAAACTAATGGATCACAGTAATATTTCAGGGTTTTTTTGTAGATATGCATATAGATATCATTTGACGATACACGTTTTGTTTAATATGGGTCCTTAGATCAAGTGCAGAATATTTGTTGTAACTTCGTAGACCCCACAGGTTAAATCTTTGAAATCCAAGGATCCCTCAGGTATACCAGTGAAAAGCAGGCTTCACTGAAAAAGCAACAACCGGGAACATTTAAAATGAACCATTTATTAAATCAAACCGTTATTTTTAACAGTTACATAAGTTACACAGCATGTTTAAGTCAAAAGATTTCACAAGGAAAAAAAATTTAAACTTTTATTATGCAGGCAAAAATAGTACCACACAATATGTACCTGGGAGGGAAGAAGGGAAGGGGAATCTCTAAACATTCAAATAAGGCCATAATTATTTAAAAACAACAATAAAACAATAATAAACCCCCCCAAAGATCCATTTTCCTTTCAGTGTGTTCAGTGCTGCTAACTATATGTACTTTTAGTGTACAGATGTAATCGAGGCAGTGCTCTCTTGATAGCTAGGTTTAATGTTTTAAAACACTATCAGAAGTGGAATAAGGCTCATTAGTACATACAGCTGCCCTTGGAATGTCAATCTCAGTTGCCTTCATTAACTTAAAATTCACAAAGTGCACAGTTAAGATATGCCAAAAAATTGAAACTGCTACTCTACCAACAGCTGCCCATGCTTAATACTTAGTGGTCTATTGGAACAAAGTATGTTCCTTCAAAAAAGATGTGTAAGAAAAGCCACTGTAAAACATTTAGTTTCAAAGATGCACTAGGAGCTTTTTGTAAACTGAAAAGTAGAAAAACATGGATTAATTATGTAAAGAAAAGAATACAAAAAACACTAGAAATGACCATCAAACTCTCAAAGAACAAGCACCACAATGGACATTAGCATTCGATTTTGCAGTGTACAGCAACGTAATAATTTTACTCTAACCAATCCACTTCATCAAATTCTGAATCATCTTCTGAATCACTGTATTCAACAGCAATGCGACGAGAAAGTATAGTAGCGACATCATTCTCAATGCGCTCATGCTTAGCTTCTTGTTCACGCTGCTCTTCAACTTTGCGTAGCTGAATACCTAAAGAACATCAAATCACAAACGTGTTACTCTCCTCCTTTATCATTATACAAAGTATTTAGCTCATGATTCACAAAATGCTTTGCAAGCCAAGACGAAGGCTGAGGACATCGTCCTCCTCAGAAGTTCTCTGTCAAGTTTTTAGAGAGAGGACTGTCAGAATTGCAGTGGCAGGCTAGATCATCAGTCCTTCTACTGTAATATCCTGCTTCTGATTTCCCATTGAAAACACACCCACATTCTTAGAACCACTCTAAGTGATTAAGACATTTTACTACTTGCATTTCCAAACAATTTTTATACCCTCTCTTCATGGTCTCAGTTAAAAGTTATAGCTATTTGAGTATCCTAACAAGATAGGATTTCTTGTAACTCAGTTTTGATCGTATAATGATCTGTTTTGGGATAAAGCATTACTTAAAGATCAAATACAAAGGAGAAATAACACATACCGATAGTGTGAGAAAGTTAAATCCAGTAACTTAGTTAAAAACATGACAGAGATTATATATTTTGGTTTTATACTCGCAACACCACAGACTGACACAGTCTAAATACGTACATCCTGTACTTAATACTCTCTGTTGTCAACTGACAGGCAACGCAAGCACAGGTCCTTAGTGGGATTTAAGCTGTGGTAACTCGAGCCTTTGTTTCTTGTGCAAGACTTGGTCAAAAGTCTTTTCGGGAAGCACCTAAATTATACCAGCAGGCTCTCCTTTATTAAGTTTTTTGCTGACATTCTCTGCTAATGTTCATGCACCACTGTTGTACTCAACTGCTGTGGACACTTCTTTAGAGTCAATGATGTTATCAATTCATGTGCATATAGATGCTTTAAAAATAGTGTGAAGTATTATTATAGCCTATCTACTGATATTACAGTACCATACAGATTCTGTACCGTGTTGTAGGTGCAGGGGAAAAACAGAAGAATGTAGTACTCGAAACATTTGAGAAAGATTAACTATTCAAAGACACCACACAGTCAAACAGCAGCACTCGCAGTGCAGTGGGGATTTTTCTGGCCGCAAGCACATAAGGTGAAAGGTACAGCTTGTACGTTCTGCTCCTCGCTAGATCACCAAGAAAACATTGCCTTGCGCCTCTGCCATTCACTTGCACTCTGCCAGCGGGGCACCTTGCAGTGCAGACTGCTCCACTACTGCGTTGAGACATGTCAAGATTTAGATACTTAACAGCTTTAAGTCTGAAGCAACGATTTCTGAATGTCATTTATATGTTGTTGTAATACACTGATATATGATCAAAATTCCAATGCCAATTGATCTGTTCTGCTTTTATCTAACAGTCTGTGAAAAACCATGTTTTTGTCTTCTACACAATCTGTAGGTTATCAGAAACAGCTACATTTTTCAGGTAAACACAAATGAAGAGAAAATCTCCACAGATCATCTATATAAACACATGTACTTTTTTTTTTAATCTAACTTCCACAGAGAACCAGTTTTGCCATCCAAACCAAACATCTGATAAGTGCAATTACAAATTGAAAAAAATCTGTCTACTTGGCAATGCATACGCTGTAGAGAACAGAAAGCAGAAACAGACTTCAGATGCGTTCCTCTAAACTAATTTCTTACACATGTGAAACACTCCATCTCTCAAAGCTAACGTGTATTTAGCAAGTTTCTGAGACCGTTCTTTTTGCCCCTTAATAGCCAAACATTACCTTTCCGTATTGCTTCCAGCAGAACGCTTCTAGCATCACTGATTACAGGAAGAGTTGAAGGATGGCGTTTGGGTTCAGGAGCAGGAATCACTTGGGATGGTGGAGATGGAGGCATTAGGGGGGCATGAGGGCCAGGGACAATGGTTGTGGGAGGAGGGTGCAGAACAGGAGGAGGGTGAGAAAGGGCTGCAACTGTGACAGGAGAGGAGGGTCGAATGCCAGGAGGAGGCAAGGGAGGCGGTGGGGGTGGTGGAGGAAGTCCCTGTACTTCAGCTTGAGGAGGAACTGGGTGAACGGGTACAGCTTCACACACTTGGGCAGCTCTAGTGACAGGAGGAGAGGGTTGTGCTAGGGGAGGAGCAATTGGAGGTGGAGCTGGATGTAGGACTCCAGGAGCTATCTGGAGAGGAGCTGGTGGAGGTGGCACAGCAGGGGCCT